GTGGAGTACAACGACCTATGACGCAGCATGCAACAAGTCTTCCTCTCAACAATCCCAGATACTCTAACTTAACTTGGTGTTGGTCCGCGAAGGGAACCTTCTCTACGAGCTCCTATTATACAATGCCGTTCTGGTAGCTCATCTGGCGTAGCTGGGCGCCGAATGTCAAATTCTTCTTCTGGCTTGCATCGCAGAATCGTTGTTGGACTACCGATCGCTTGGCGCAAAGTGGTTTGCAACACACGCCTATCTATGGGATGTGCTCCCGGGAGGATGAGACACTGCACCACATTTTCCAGATGCATCTTCTGTCGAATCACCTGGCACGAGGTGCTCTCTTGGTACCCGGCTTCTGATTCTACCACCGGATGGCACGACCACCTTCTTCTCTTGGTTGTGTTCTAGCACCATGGTGGCTCCCACCTGATACGGAAGGGTTTTGCATCACTCACAATCATTACGCCTGGGCCATCTAGAAGCATAGGAATGCAATCTTTGAGGGTATGCAACCTTCAAACGACCAGCTGCTTACCACAATAAAGACCGACGCTAAGAGATGGGCGTGGGCGGGCGCCAAGGGATTAGATAGGATCATTCCCGTAGCCTGACCTCTCTGCATCGGGGATGAGAAACCCCCTCTCTTCGGCTCATTGGTAACCCATGTATGCATCTTGGGATTACTCCACTTGTATTCTACCCCTTTCTATCAATGGAATGACACGCCTCCACGGGTATTCGAGAAACAAAAAAATCTAGCCCTGGCAACTACCCAAGTTTTTGCCTCATCCATAATCGTCGCTGCCGCGCGTGTGGGTAGAGATGCCTTGTTGCGGAAGACCCAAGCATTCTTTTCGTTCCAGATCTCCCATCATATGAACATATGCAAAGAGTTAAACGCCTTCCTATAGAATTAGCCCGGTTGTCCCTCGCTCAAGTTCCACCATTGTTTGATCGTGTGCATGTCGATCCAAGAAGGTGTTGCCGATTGCTAGTCCAACCGTTCGTAAATCAAGTTCCAAACCACGATAGTGAAGCGACATTTTGACATAAGGTCAGCGAGCGTTTCCGCTCCTCTCTTGCAAAGTTGGCAAAGGCCGCAGTTTGACCAACCTCTGCAAAGGAACCTGTCAGCCCTCCAGATTTTATCTTGAAGGATTAGCCAGGAAAAGAATTTAATCTTAAGAGGTGCCCAAATCTTCCAAACCATCCTAGGCATCTCAAACTTGATCAATCCAGCAAACTGCTTCTTGTATGCGGTGGGGGCGGAGTACACTAGTAGAAAACAGGGCTTTGGTCACAACTCAATGTACACATTAGTCCCGGTTGCATTACAAACCGGGACTAATGTGAGCATTAGTCCCGGTTCGAGCGGCTAGGGCGTCGAGAAGGCATTAGTCCCGGTTCAAATGGGACCTTTAGTCCCGGTTTGAGACAAGAACCAAGACTAAAGGGTGTGATGCCCTGTACTCCCGGTTCTTGTCTCAAACCGGGACTAAAGACCTTTAGTCCCGATTTGAGACACGAACCGGGACTAAAGGGGTTCATGTCTCAAACTCTACCCCCCCCTCCGGCCCCCCTCCGTGTATCACCATTTTAATTTTGAAAAAAACAAAAGAAAATGAGAAAATCTTCAAAAAATAAAATCCTTCGAGATGTAGTTATATTACTACATCTACTAGTTAGGAAAATTTAAAAACTTAAATTTGGACATGTTTTGCAAAAAACTGTTATGAGAAAGTAAAACGGCTACAACTTTTGCATACGATGTCGCAAAAAAGTATAATATATCAAAATGTTCAGCACGAAAATTCGGTTCCAATTTCGACGGCCATAGGCCATTTTGCAAATTTCTAGAATCCTCGAATTCTGAAAGGAAAAAGTTATCCTCAAATTTTAGTTTTTTTTGAATTTTTGGTCAAACTCTGGTCAAACTACTTATTCAAGAAATATCAGTGTTACTAATTAATTATTGTTTTTTAGAATAATAGTTTCAAACTCAAACGGTTCTTCGTGCTCAAGTTCAACTCCTAAGGGTTAATAGGATTGACTGCTTACTATTGTCAGGAAAACAACAAGTGCAGACTTCGAAACGAGGGGGAACAGAACTCGAAAGTTAAGCGTGCTCAGGTTAGAGTAGCGAGAGGATGGGTGAGGGGTGATTAGAGATTAAATTGTCAAAAAAATTCAGAAATGTGAAAATCGAAAAAAAAAATCAATTTTTTTCCAAAAAAAATTCAAAAAATTTCCTTTAGTCCCGGTTGGTGTTATCAACCGGGACTAAAGGTGGAGCTCCAGACAGAGGCCACGTGGAGCCCCTTTAGTCCCGGTTCATAAGCGATCCGGGACTAAAGGTTTAGGGCTTTAGTCCCGACCCTTTAGTCCCGATTTCAGAACCGGGACTAAAGGCCCATTTGGAACCGGGACTAAAGGTCCATTTTCTACTAGTGGTAGCATCCATCGGTTGTGAACTTCCACCGAATGCCATCTTTGGAACGATATTATTCGAACATTTACTGCATTGGGGTGTCGAATAGGGCATTTGCCTCCTAATTTTCTTTAGTGCATTGTCGGTATGTTCCATCTGACCATCTCTATTTTTGCAAGCTTTCGACTTCTCATCTCACAACTAAATTTATTTAATTACAAATCCATTTTTTGTATCGCAGTTCCTTCTAGGCTGATTGTATGTCTTTCTGTTGGCAAAAAATGAACAAGTGAGAGATGCTTTTGACCGTGCTGGAAGAAATTGCACGGTCACATCTAGTGATATATGGTATGCATTGTTGGCTATGTATCTTTTGTTGTCATGTACCAACTTTATTTGTTCTATGAAGCGGATATTGAATATTAGCTCACTTTAAATGAAATTTTGTGCGACTATTATGGTTATGTTTTCACTTCATTATTAAAGCGGATTTGTGAATCCGAAGCTTGGTGGTATATTACATGTTGTGCATTCGAATACTCGATTTGATTTCTAAATTATACGCTTAGACTTAATTTGCCTAGGCTCCACAAAAGTTCTGGCTCCGTCACTGCTTTGTATCTGGGACAAGCTAAATCCCAATGGACTTGCGCATGAAAGGGCAAAAAATTGCTGGATGAGGGTAACCAAGAGGACGCCTTGTAGAATGATGTGTCAGACCCAATCATTATTATTCAACACCTTGGCGACACAACTATTGGTGCGTTTGGAGAGGGCGAAGATGCCCGGAGCGTTGTCGTTGTGCACATGACTTTCCACCAGCCCATCCATGTTGTTCTGTTTTTAGATTCAGATCCTGCAACTGGGGCTGCAATGCCAAAAGTTGCACATATGCTTCTTGGGATAGAGGAGGATGATAGTTGTCATTAAGATCATTTTTTCGCAAGAACTTGCCCAGAGAGGAATTAGCGGAGTTCGTAAAGTAGCAACACAATTCAATACTGCATAGAGTCGCAAAAAAAAAACTGCATCAACTTGGTCCATATATGCACCCTGGGGGTTTAATTTTCTTTGTCAGGACTACCTTGAAATGCTGAAAGAGACACATCGTCCAAAGCTGCACGGGTCATGTTTGCCCCTGAATTACGCCAGAACAGTGCTTGCCGAAGAAGCGGCCCTCTTAAATTGATTAAGTTTGGGGATTAAGCAGCCTCTACAGTCTACAGTTACATATTGCTCACGATCAAAGGTCAAGACCTTCGAGTTCCAAGGTGAGGTTGCCGGAGCTTCCTTGGAAATACTTTAACATTTTGGCCAGAGGTCAATCAGGTTGCACTTTTGAAACAGTCGGGTATCTTGCTTGTGCATACCTCAGCTATATATCCTGCAGGATTAAGGTGTAGTAATAAACGCAGGGCATGTTTGAACTGATCCAGATCACGAATCTTGGATTCCCAGTTCGCAATTACCCGTTCATACGCATAGGACCACGACCGTTGTCCTGCCAATCGAAACATCTTCTATCTCGCTCGTCAAAGAGATTCTGTCAGCGCGTAGTTCATACAGACATCACGCAGGCGTGCAGGTTTTCTCGGTGTTTTGCAGGGAATGATGACCCGAGCAGATCTGAAGATGCATAGCATCGGAAGATGCATGCTGCACTCGTTGGACAAAGTAAAATCTGACAAGTAAAGCTTGCTCATCAACTCAGTAAACTTTTTCTTGAAAGAAAGCTTATCCAGCAGTATATATTTACCACGACACGTCACCACACATGGTAATTTTCTAAGCAGGGACATCTTATCCTTTCAGCTTTTTGAAGCTTCTGATCCATTCAGCCTAGAATTTTACTGACCTCATCTATACTATCTGATCCGCGGTTTAAGCACGGCAGTCGTCGGCAATACCTTCTTACACGAAAGCTCGCGGGAGTGGCCGCTCGATAGATTCGCCTCCGAGCCCATTCACACACCAGGCCGCGGCCCAAGACCAGCTGAAGCAGCAACCTGCCCCAAGAGCTACGCAGTCGCGTGTTTCGCCAAAAACAAAACAAAAACGCGGCTCGTCGCGTGCCCCGAGCGAGACCAGGCAATTCACTCTCGTGTTTCCCGAAATTTGCTCGCCTTGTGTCCTAAAAAAAACAATTTATTCGATTATCCACAAAAAAGTACTAATTTAGTGGCGTGCCTACGCAGCCGCACCGGGAGTCTACGACACTGTCGCCCGGCTTCTAGCTCCAGGAGCCCTGCCGGCGGAGGATGTCAGGATGAGATCCTCTGACCGGGTTCATGACCGGCACGCCACGTCGGACCCGGACTTCGCCTCCCTCTCCCGTGCCTCTGACATCACGGGCTAGACGACCAACGCCTAATCCGCGCGTGCGGAGAATGACCCAGCGCCTCCAACTATAAATACACACAGCAGCCTATCTTCGTCACATTGCATCTTGTCTATCCGTTCATCTCGATTTCTTGCCTGCGAGCGATCAGAAAAAGTTGAACGAGCTAGAGCTCGCTAGCGGCGGTCCGGCAGCCAGGAGAGAGGCAGTCGTCAGTCGGGAGGGCTATCTCATCTGATGGGGAACTGCGCGGCGTCGCGGCACGCTGGGGAGTCGTGGGCGGACGACGGCGAGTGGGAGGGGGCGTCGTCCACGTCGGAAGACGACCACCACCACCGCCACCACCACCATGACGCGTCGGAGGAGCACTTGTCGGAGGTGACGATCAGGATCACCAAGAGGCAGCTGCACGAGCTGATGGGGAGGAAGACGCCCGGCGGCCGGGGTAGCAGCACTCGGCAGCTGCTGGCGGATATCATGGACTCCGGGGAGGTGCACCACCATGACGTGCACCGGGAGGAGCACTGGAAGCCCGCGCTACGGAGCATTCCGGAGGCCGTCGAGTCATGACGAGACTTGGTGGTGGCTACGTACGTACTTACGTACGCTGCACTGCCGAGCTCTCTGCGGACAGATTAAAGTTGCCATTTCCCTCCTAGCCTCTTTTCTCTTTTCTCGTTCCCACGGTGTGTTTCCATGTCCTTGAATGGGAGTACTCCCTTGAATGGTTGTCCATGACCATGCATGTACAAAGATTGGATTTGGATAGTTCGTTCAATTTCTAGGGAAATACGTATAAAAAATAGTCACTGATGTACATAGGATGTAGGTGTAGGGAAATAACTGTGAATACCCTATTTCGCATGCCATTTTTTTCTATTATTTTTGTTTCATACTACTATGAGGGAGTGGTGTTTGACGGTGGAGAATGAAACTACTCACCTGCCTGATCTTTTCGTTTAAAAATGGTTTCCTCCGAACTCCGAAGGATGTCAATGGGTAGAGTTGTATGGATGCAATAATTCCATACTCATATCTATGTTTCTCACGGGCACAAAATCTTACTCATAGTCTACATAAAATCTTGCCTGGGCCCATACCGAATGGGTATCCGTGCCAATCGATACCCAATGGGAAGATCGACATAACAATGAAGGGCGGTGGATAGTTGCTAGCTCCATGTGAGATGTAAACGCCAACAAGAGGTGCTAGGGTTGGCAAATTGGTGATCGGGAGGAGGATGAGGGCGGGGGATTGTTGAGGAAGTGCTAACTAGCGGGGGTTGAAGTGGATACAGTCTGGCCGTCTAGAACTTTGGAGTTTATATGCTAGGTATTTTAGCGTTTATATGAGTCACATGCAAGACTACTCTGTAGGGTTCGGGTTTGCCCCTGGACACAAATTTGTGCCTATGTCGTACCCACAACTAGTTGGGGGTTCGGGTAAGAGCAAATTGTTTCTCGACAACCTTGAAATGATCCCATTTTTTTAAATGTTCAAGGATTTGAATTTTTTCACAGATTTTCAAGAGAAGTCCAGTAAAAAAATTGTAAAAAAAGTTTGAGAAATTGAAATAAATTCACAAAATGGAGAAAAATTTCATGAAATAGATATTTGTAAAATTTTGAAAAGTTCGTGCATTTGATAAAAAAGTAAAAACAAAAATAAAAAGGTAAAAAAGATAAATAAAAAATCCTAAAATAAAACAAATCAAAACCCAGTTTTAAAAAACACGAACAAACCTTGAGGGTTGGAGTCCGAATCTCCCGTGGCACACATTTTTTGAAGACTAAAAAGAAAGAGAAAAAATGGTGTAGGTGCCAAATAGGGTTTGGATATACCACGTACGCCGGTCCGTGTACAAGTAGAAAGTACAGAGGCCAAGAATCAGGGGTGCCCTTATTTATCTCTTTTCAATAATCCTAGACATACGAGCTTGTTACACGCAGTTTACGGGGCCCTTCATTAAATTTCTTTGCCCCCTCCCCCCCCTCCCCCGGGGCGGCCCGCCTCACTCCCTTCTTTTCAATCCCACTTTGCCATGTCAGCATGTAACTAAATTCAGCCTGTAAGTGCCTCTACGTCTAGCATTACTGATCTCTTTTAGTGAGATGGAGGGAAGCCTGGAGTTAAGCTGGACGCTACTACATAGACATCTTCCTTTTTCTTCTCTAACTATGTTAAGTGTTCCTTTTTTCAAGCGAGGCCCAAACGAGTGGGAGGGCACAACCTCATTTTTTTCACATTGTTATTTTCATTTTTTATTTCGCCTTTTACTTTCGTTTATGCATCCAAATATTTTAAATAAATATATTAGAAGAACATTTTACATCAAACATTTTAAAAAAATGTTAACCAAACATTTGAAAAATGTTAAATGTGTGAACAAATGTTTCTAATGTATACAAAAAATATATAATGTGTGTGAAAAAAGTTGGACATGTTTTTATAAATTTAATCCAAGCATTTAAAAAAAGTTACTCCCTCCTTCCATCTATATAGGGTCTAATACGTTTTTCGAGGCTAACTTTGACCAAATGTTAGAGCAATAATATATGACATGCAACTTACCCAAAGCACAATATCAAATTCGTATGTGAAAGGAGTTTTCAATGATATAATTTTCACATTATGCATATCATGTATTATTAATTTTGTCAATAGTCAAAGGATGTCTTAAAAAACGCATTAGGCCCTATATAGATGGAAGGAGTAAGTAAAACGTAATGAGCCGTTCATACGCAGAGGGCCACGACCACTGTGAATCTGCAATCAAAACTTCTATCTCGCCCGTCAAAGTGATTCTGTCAGCGCCCAGTTTATACAGACCATCACGTGTGCATGTTTTTTTTAATGATAATACGTGTCTTATTCATATTATAATAATCAAAATATAAATCACGTAAGGATCGACATGACAAAACTGAAAAAATAGCAGAACATCTCTGAGGTTGACACCAACGCCCGTCAGCTGCATCCGGCACCACCACAGTAGCCACCGAAGAAAAGAATGACAGATCATTTCCTTACCCGAGCTCGACGCAACACCATCGCTGATATGCAGCTTTGCGGACCTCCAAGGTGGCTCACCAAAAGTGAAGCCGTTGCCGTTGAACGAATCAGACCGGGGCAACACCCCGGACACGCCATCGAACTCCGGATCTGGCACCCCACCACGACTATGACGCCGAAGGAGGAAACCATACCTGACATCCACGAACCACGAACCCAGAACACATTCCATCTTCCAGATGTCGTCGATGCAAACCACAATCTGCATCCGCTCCTGGACTACCTCCCAAGCTTCGTGCCGACGCTGAATCAAACGGCATTGCAATGGCGGAGCCCGAGGACACAAATCCATCACGAGGATGTCATCGCCGCTACGTCGTCCTTACGTGAACAGACTTATTCCTAAATTCATCCCCAACCATAGAACCGATGGCCTCGTCAAAGAAGGATCCGGAGAATTTTTATTCAGCATTGTCACCATCGCCGCTGAAGCCAAGATGATGAACAATCTAAAAACCTAGACTATGAAGGAGTAAAAATGATCCACGTGTGTGAATCCGGTGATCCCCTCACCACCAACGACTGAGGTCGCCGGTGGAGGAGAGCCGCCGTAGGATGGCACTAGAAGATTGACCTCCTTACGACGGGTAGCTAGGGTTCCAACCGCCAGGACAAGAGAAAAACGATCTATTGGCCAGTGATTACCTCGTCACGGCATCACGTGTGCACGTTGAATGCCTATTTTGCAGGGAATGATGGCCGGAGCAGAGCTCGCATGGTATGTGCCATTCGAAGGTGCATGCTGCACTCGTTGGAGAAAGTAAAATGTGAGAAGTTAAGCTCGTGCATCAGCTCAGTAGAACTTTTTTTTCTTAAATCGAAGACCCTAGAACAATAGTTCTACGGTAATTTTCATTTAAAATAAAGCAAAGTTATGTAAAAAAAATAAAATAAACAATAGGACCATCTAACCAATACCAGCTCTAGGTATATCCATGAATAATTAAGCTAGGTTGTCTGTAATCCAGCCCTTGGAAGCCTCTTTGTGTTTTTCTTTGGTCCTCACAACTATCATCTTAAGGTCATTTTTGAGTAAACTTCTCCAAGCTTGCAGAGATAGAGGTTGAGCTTTGAAAATCTTAGAGTTCCTCTGCATCCAAATATGCCAGCAGTCCATGGTGATTATGCTCATTGCAAATTGCTTGGGTAGGTGAGTTAGCAGAAAGGTGATCTATTTAGTATGTATTTACTACGACACGTCACCGCGCATGGTAAATATCGTCTAAGCAAGGGCATCTTATCCTTTCAGTTTTTCTAAGCTTCTGGCTAATCCATTCATCCTAGACTTGTACTGACTTAAGTATCTATAGAAATAGCCGCGGATTAAGCACGGCAGTAGGCATACAGGAAACACCTTCTCGCACGAAAGCTCGCAGGAGTGGCCCCCTGAAGCCGCTCGAGATTCGCTCCCTAGCCCATTCACACACCAGGCCGCGGCCCAAGACCAGCTCAAGCAGCAACCAGCCAGCCAGCCGACCCGCGTGTTTCGCCAAAAACAAAACAAAAACGCGGCTTGCCGCGTGCCCCGAGCGAGACCAGGCAATTCACTCTCGTGTTTCCCTGACAATAGGAAATTTGCTCGCCTTGCACGGGACGGAGGGAGTAATACAGTGGCGTGCCTACGCAGCAGCACCGGGAGCCTACCACACCTTCGCCCAGCTTCTAGCTCCAGGACTGCCGGCCAGCGGGCGATGGATGTCAGGATGAGACCCTCTGACCAGGTTCATGACTGGCACGCCACGTCGGACCCGGACTTCGCCTCCTCCCGTCCCTCTGACATCAAGGGCTAGACAACCAACGCCTAATCAGCGCGTGCGGAGAATGACCCAGCGCCTCCAACTATAAATACACACAGCTGCCCATCGTAGATACATGGCATCTTATTTATCCATCCATCTCCATTTCTTGCCTGCGAGAGGGATCAGAAAAAGTTGAACGAGCTAGAGCTCGCTAGCGGCGGACCGGCAGCCAGGCCCACGAAAAAGGCACTCGTCAGTCGGGAAGGTTATCTGATGGGGAACTGCGCGGCGTCGCGGCACGCCGGTGAGTCGTGGGCGGACGACGGCGAGTGGGAGGAGGCGTCGTCCACGTACGAGGACGGCGACCACCACCACCATCACCATGACGCGTCGGAGGAGCACCTGTCGGAGGTGACGATCAGGATCACCAGGAGGCAGCTGCACGAGCTGATGGAGAGGAAGACGCCCGGCGGCCGGGGTAGCAGCACCCGGCAGCTGCTGGCGGACATCATGGACTCCGGGGAGGTGCACCACCATGACGTGCACCGGGAGGAGCACTGGAGGCCCGCGCTGCAGAGCATTCCGGAGGCCGTCGAGTCGTGACGAGACTTGGTGGTGGCTACGTACGTACTTACTTACGTATGCTGCCCCTGCCGGGCTGTGTGTGCGAAAGCGAAACAGATTAAAGTTGCCATTTCCCTCCTAGCCTCTTTTCCCTTTTCTCGTTCCCACGGTGTGTTTCCATGTCCTTGAATGGTTGTCCATGATCATGCATTTACAAATATTGGATTTGGATAGTTCGTTCAATTTGTCACTGATGTAGTAGTACATAACATATACGTCTAGGGAAATACGTAACAAATTGTCACTGATGACCCTCAAAAAAAAAATTGTCACTGATGTACATAGGGTGTAGGTGTAGGGAAACAACTGTGAATACCCTATTTCGCATGCCAATTTTTTGTGAATCATCATTTTCTGTTATTTTTGCTTCATACAGTCAGATGTGAAGCGAGTGGTGTTCTTTTGTGTGGAAAAGATCCAGATATGTTGTAAAAGTTCATAGGAAGTACAAAACACCTCAAGCATAATAAAAATTACATCGAGATCCCTATACCACCAGACGATCACTACCGCCGCCAGAACGAGTCGGTGACCTGCTACTGCCATCGCTCCCGTACCGAAGCCGGCTTGACCTTGTCAATGACAACTGGGAAGTCTTCGTGCACATGCCCTGAAGGACTAACGTCATGTAGCCATAGTTTTTTCGTTGAACCCTTCAATAGATCTAATGCACCTAACACTAAATCTTGCCACCGCGCGTGCACGAGGAGAAACCCTAACCTTGCCATCCCAAGGAGACGTAGGAATCTACGACGGACCTCTGTCAACTATGTCCAGACAGGTGAACTCGAGAAGGATCGAAGCTCGAAAGACAAACTCAAAGAAGAAGCGTTGACATCTGTCCGAGTGCCGCACCCGCGAGGACTAAAAAAACCTGACCTAAACTACTAGTTGGAGCGGAGGCGTCGGGATTCCCCTCCCCGCCTCCAGCCACCGAAGCCTGTAGGGGAGAGTTTGCCCTAGCCCTAGAGGGGAAGCAGAGGAAACACTTGGAGAAAAACTTAATTTTCGATTGTGTTTGGTTGATGAGTACATTACAGAACTACGATCATGCGATGGAGAATTGAAGTAATCACTTGCTTGATCTTTTTGTTTAAAGGTAGTTTCCTCCAAAGGGTGTCAGAATACACCACGGTAGAGCTTTCCACTAGTAGAATAAGGGCCTTTAGTCCCGGTTCATAAGGGCCTTTAGTCCCGGTTCCTGAACCGGGACTAAAGGGTCGTTACTAAAGCCTCCCCCTTTAGTCCCGGTTCTTACACCAACCGGGATTAAAGGCCCTCCACGTGGCCGCTGCTTGGAGGTCCACCTTTAGTCCCGGTTGGTAACACCAACCGGGACTAAAGAAAATTTTATGATTTTTTTTAATTTTTCTAAAAAAAATTTGAATCTGTTTTTTTTAATTTTCTCAATTTTCAAATTTCTGAATTATTTTAACCTCTAATCTCTAATCACCCTCATCACTGCTCAATTTAACCTCTAATCTCTAATCACCCCTCACCATTCCAAATCATCTAACTTCCCGGACGGTCACCCATCCTCTCACTACTCCAGCCTGAGCACGCTTAACTTCCGGGTTCTATTTCCCTCGTTTCTAAGTCTGCACTTGTTGTTTTCCTGATAATAGTAAGATATCAATCGTATTAACCCTCAGGAGTTTAGCTTGAGCATGAAGTCACACGTTTCACTGTTTGAGTTTGAAACTATTATTCTAAAAAACAATAATTATTTAGTAACACTAATATTTCTTGAATAAGTGGTTTGACCATAGTTTGACCACAGTTTGACTATAGTTTGACTAGATTTGACAAAAATTCAAAAAAATTGAAATAATTATTTAGTAAGACTAATATTCTTGAATAATTATTTAGTAACACTACTACTTTTTGAATAAGTAGTTTGACCATAGTTTGACCAGATTTAACCAAAATTCAAAAAAACTGAAATTTGAGCATATCTTTTTTTCTTTTTGGAATTTGAGGATTCTAAAAATTTACAAACAGGTCGTAGGCGGTCAAAATCGGATGCGGATTTTCGTTCTGAACATTTTGATATATTATACGTTTTTTTTCGACATCATATGCAAAAGTTACAGCCGTTTTACATTTTCCCTACACTTATTGCAAAACATGTCCAAATTTATGTTTTTAAATTTTCCTAACTAGTAGATGTAGTAACATAACTACATCTCGAAGGATTTTAATTTTGAAGTTTTTACCATTTTCTTTTGTTTTTTACAAAACTGAAAAGGCGATGGGGGGGGGGGGTAGAGTTTGAATGGGACCTTTAGTACCGATTTGAGACACGAACCGGTACTAAAGGGCATTGCACCCTTTAGTACCGGTTCGTGTCCCAAACCGGGACTAAAGGTCTAATCTTTAGTCCCGATTTGACATACGAACCGGGACTAAAGGGCATCACACCCTTTAGTCCCGGTTCGTGTCTCAAACCGGGACTAAAGGGCTCATTTGAACCGGGACTTATGCCTTTAGCGCACGAACCGGGACCAATTCTCACATTAGTCCTGGTTCGTGAATGAACCGGGACTAATGGGCTTATTTGGTCCGAACGAAAGCCATGTTTTCTACTAGTGTTCGTGACACATCAATCTGTAGAACATAATATGGGTGCAATAATTCTGTACTCAAATTTATGTTTATAAAATCTTACCAATAGCCTACCCATTAGACATAATCATGTTTGCATCCATACAATATGTATCCATGCCTGAGGGATACCCACCGAGAAGATCGGCATAAAAATGAAGGACGATGGAGTAGTTGCTAGCTCCATGTGTGATGTACACAACAAGAGGTTA